ACTCAAGAAAATTCGACAAAAAAGCACTGAAGAACAAATCGATGGTGAAGATGCCGCGTTGGATAATTTAGAAGAGTCACAGCCTGGCACGAGTATCTCACTTTCGGGAAAATTTGAAGATTTGCCTATATCAGAGCCAATTAAGCGTGCTGTCAAGGAAATGGGCTTCACACATATGACCGATATCCAAGATAAATGTATTCCACAGCTGCTTGAGCACAGGGACCTGATGGCCTGTGCTAAAACTGGGAGTGGTAAAACACTAGCTTTCTTAATACCTGTTGTGGAACTGATGCTAAGCTTGGGTCTGCAACCTCGTAATGGTACTGGTGCCATAATCATATCACCTACTCGTGAACTTAGTCTCCAGACGTATGGTGTGTTGGGAGTAAGATTTTAAGTTTTTTGTAGTGTATTTTATAATTAGGAACTCATTCAATTCACGAATTTACGAATTGGCCTCATTATGGGTGGTAGCAACCGACAAACTGAAGCTCAGAATCTTGAAAAAGGTGTGACGATTCTCGTTGCAACTCCGGGAAGACTGCTAGATCATTTGTCAAACACAAAGTTCTTCCTCCGTCATAATCTTAAAGCTCTTGTAATCGATGAAGCTGATCGTTTGCTGGATATAGGTTTCGAAGTGGAAATGCGACAAATTATAAAACTTCTACCGACGGTACGGCAAACAATGCTGTTTTCTGCTACCTTGAACGAAAAAACGAAAAACCTAGCCAACGCTGCGCTCAAAGCTTCTTGTGTGATGGTCGGATCAGCTCCTGATAATGAAGCAACAGTTGAGGGATTGGAACAAGGGTATGTTGTCTGCCCTCCTGATAGACGTTTTTGTCTACTGTATACATTTCTCAAGAAAAATAAAAGTAAAAAGGTAATTTCTGTGTACTTCGAGAATGCCCAAATATTGCTATTCATTAATATAATTAATCATTCCTTCGTGTCTCTCGCTTCGTCAAGTTTATGTGTTACACGGAATCATTAAGTGTGGAGACGCAGTGATAAGCACTAGATACATGGGTCTTGTTGAGGAGTTTTCTTCATAATATTTTCACCGTTATGAATACTGCCGTACTAGGTTATAGATGTATTCATACGTTCTAGTCTACCATAGTTAAATTATGTACTTGGGCCATTGCTTTAATTAACTTTTTGGCGTTCCTGAAGACTGCATGCTTGTCTCTGGATTTCAAGAGCAGCTGACATTATTTTAACAAAACTCGATATTTCTGTTTCAAACGACCTTTGAGCAACGCTTAAGTGATCTCGAGAATATCCACCTATTAACTAGGACTAATAGAGGATTATAAAAGTGTGAGGAATTAGAATTATGATTTACAGTTGATGATTAGGAATTTCATTTATTAGTTTTCATCACGAACCGACACTAGCTATAATGCCAAGACGCTGTTTTGCTAAATGGATGGGTAAATTTCGCACCAAAATCCAAGACTGGTCTGATTGGTTCGTCCATAAACTATGGTGTCTCCCAGAACTCAATCGAGAGTTTCTACCTGCACATTCCATCCCTTATCTTCGCTTGGATCTTTAAGACGAGTCTATCTTATGTCGTCTAGTTTATTTTAAGTTATAGTAGTGAACATGTGATAAATAATATGTTATTGTGACCAAGAATTGCGAATCAGCCAAGTATGTTCACAGATATAACACCTGTTTGGCACCGATAATATCAATAAGGTTGAAAAGTATTTTCACACTCCCATTTACCTCATTAGTCATTAACCCACATACTTTTCTACACGTTTCAGATTATGGTTTTCATGGCTTCGTGCATGGAAGTTAAGTTTTACTACGAGTTGCTGAACTTTGTGGATACTCCAGTCTTAGCCATCCATGGACGACAAAAACAAGCTAAAAGGACAAGCACCTTCCTTCAGTTTGTAAAAGCTGAGTCTGCTGTTCTTTTGTGTACTGACGTCGGAGCGCGCGGTTTAGACATACCAAAGGTAGGTTATCGATTGGTTTGCTTTTCTTGTTGAAATAACAGTATTACGAAAATGTCTAGCAGTGACTAGGCATACAAAACCGAAGGTCCCATGACGTTATCTGCCAATGAAAAAGCTTTCTTCGTAAATTAACCAACCTAATGAAGACCTAGTACTCGAAATGTTATCGCTATTTGCGGTATACTGTTATTTTAATGGACTAAATTCACTAGGTTCCTGCCGCCAGAGCTCTGTAAATAAAAATATTTCTTTCCAAGTATTGGACAAAACGAAGTAAATATATTGTATATTTCTGCTTGAGGATAACGCTTACAATGCGGGATCTGAGCAATTTGTGTCGGAGTGTAAAATGCTTATAAGCATCCCTCTCAAAGTGTAAAATATTGGTTTAAGGAAGTTGCATTAGTATCTAGTATAAGTGCAGAAGGCAAATTATTTGAGCGTTCTGACCACTCCGTCATAAATTCTACACCGACTTTGATTGGTAGCTTACAAAATTTCCCTGCAAATTTCAAATTTTTGTTGGGTTTCACCGACATGTACTGATAGTAAAATGATCGTCTGTCCATTAAAGTGAGAATCATTACACAGCCGCTCTCTGTGTAGATATGCGGAAGTTACATTTCATCACATATATCACTGTGTATGTAAAGCATGAATAAATAACATAAACGACACTTCAGCTACTAGATAGAAATAATAAGCTGGACCATGAGGCTATTACCATCCACCATCTAAGGTGGTCAGCCATATCGCATTTTTTTAGCTACTGGTAAATATTGGATTTCAACAATGATCTCGCCCAATATTCCTTTATTTCATTAGTTTTCCGAGCTAAATTATTTATGCTTAGCATCTTAATATTTTTGTTTCGGTTACCTTGGTTTCCATCGTTTAATGTGCGTTATAGATGTTTTCAATGATCTGATGAGCGGATTTTCGGTTTTCAAACTGTATGTGGGGTGTTAATCCAATGATACGAGACATCTGAATAATGGCTATTCACGAAACATTATTATTGATTTAAGCCCCGTAATGATCAGAAATCAAAGGTAAAACTACGAACCAGATGAATAGACATAGTAGTCATTGGCGATTGGAGGAGATTAGCTCATTTGTTACTCATTCTCCAATCAATATGGGTTGATTAACGGGCATCGTATCACTGTGATGTGCAAGTCCCCAGCTAGCCTCATATCTTTTGAACGCAATTGGTCATTTACTTAAAAGTAAAACTCATCTTCAAGTGTATATCAACTGAAATCTGTTGCGGTTAAAATGATGCAAAGTCAGCTTTTTCCACCGGTTTTTGTTTTAAACAATAACAACCCATAGGCAGATGTTCAAGAAAACTGCACTGTACTCGAGATAACAAAATCGTAGTTCCCTTTTAATAAATGCATAGAAAACATGCATTTACAACCAATATATCAGATGAACTCTCGATACCTCGCTGGAATAATGGTTGAAAACCTGCCATACTGTTAAACCTGTGCGACACTGATAACTACCTTGAATTTTGGATACCTCAGCTAATAAATATAGAAGTAGCTATTAAAAACTAAGTGGATATATTGTTTTTACACAGCTTTATAAGTTTATCACGCTTCATGATAGATTCTTCCTACTACAGACCATCCTTTTTCTACAAAAGCTCACTCGTAGGCTCGGCATATGTTAGAACTTTTTTATGGAGACATAAAAACTTTTGCGGCCGGCTTCTCGCTGTCTTCAATAATGTGTAAAAGTTTTCTGCAATGTTGACGTAACTTCCTGAAAATCATCCAGGTTAAATTCCTGACGCCTTTAACTGTTCTTTACAATATGATAATATCCTTCGTCCTATGGGTCAGTAATGACGTTATTTAACTAGATTTACTTTGAACTGGGAAAAACAATTGACATTTCAGACGGAATCTGCACTAACAGTAAGTACTTCGTTTAATTTTGCATCCACACTACGTTATTCTCGTACGATGGCATAACAGCTTTGACTCCACTAGCTGTCACTATTATCTGCCATTCGCGCAGATATCTAAAAGTCGCTATATTGATTGGCTTGGTAGTATGGCCCCACAAATAGAAAATACGAGCGTCTTAGATACAACACTCATTACTGACAAAAGCTTCCTGGTCTTAACGGGCTTCTCTAAAGTTCAAGTATCAAATTCAGCTAGCTGGCCCTACATGCGTGGTTTAAGGTTCTGAATATTACTTGAGTACCCAGAGCTAGTAACGTACCTGGTTAAAATGTCAAGGGTTAATACCCCTATGCTTATTTACGTGAGCCAGACTTATGACTAGACTTCCAAACGTTTTCTCACAATGCGTTCTTATGACCTATTCCGTTCTTTATAAATAGATTTATGCATGTATCATAATCGATTAAACGATTAATAAATTAGTGTTTTGTACACTCACTTTATCCTTCAAATAAAAGATGTATGTTACTTTAAGCCTTCTTGAATATTCAGTGTAATAGTCTCATTTTTCTGATGCGTGTTACATTATTATTTACTGAATTACTCTTACTAGGTTGACTGGATTTTACAATATGACCCACCTGATGATGCCAAAGAGTATATACATCGAGTTGGTCGTACAGCTCGAGCAGGCAGCACGGGAAATGCTTTGCTAGTATTGAGGCCTCATGAATTAGAGTTCCTATCAATTTTAAGAAAAGCTCGAGTTAAGGTTGTAGAGTATGAAATAGCCAATTCAAAGATGGCAGATGTGCAACCAGCTCTGGAGAAGTTGGTCAAAAACAACTATTTCCTTGCGCTTTCTGCTCAGGAAGCCTTCAAAGGTATAGTTCGTGCTTACGCTTCGTCTGGCCTAAGCTGTTTCAATGTAGATGAACTAGACTTGGCCGCAACAGCAAGAACATGTGGACTATCAATTACTCCCAAAGTGGATTTGAATGTAAAATCAAAGAGAACACGAGAAAATCCAGGCCAAAAGCGTTATAAACCATTTGGTGTATCTGATAAGAAAGCCAAGAAAGCTAAAATTTATAAACGAATATCTTGATCATATGTAATTCTTCACGCACTATGTATATATCACAAAATTTCCGTTTTGAATAAGATACAACTTAAGTGAATGGGAACAATGAGAAATATATAAATTAAAGTAATATATATTTTTCGCTATATACATGATTTTATTGGTATCCAGAGTACTTGTGGTACAGTTGATCTACTTCTTGTTGTACAGAACCGATATCTGTGTGTGGTATAGGATATCTGTGTTGGCCAAATAAGCCTCGAGCTTTGTTTAATTTATACAGTGCTGTTTTGTAATCTAAGTAAGTCAAAGAACATTTAGCTTGATAAAGATACAGTGCAGCGTAATGGTTTGGGCGCAATTCTTCAGCCTGTTCAATCAAACAAATGAAATAACTTAATTAAACGAAAGTTGAAAGCTAATAAATACTGAACTAAATTCCTTAAATCTGTGCTTACCTTTCCAAATGCTGTCTCAGCTTCCTCAATGGTTGATGTCGGAGGCTTGCCAAATAACCTAGATGCAATCTGGCGCTCAATCCACGAAACATTATACACCTAGGATTAAAATGAAAAACAAGAACAGTTGGGAGAATGTGCCATTGATATTGTTGGACGTCTTACGTTGTAGCTGACTGATTGCATGTGTCTAACATCCTGTAGATAAAGTGTATTATTTAGTTTTTTTAGAGAAAGAATAAGTCTTCTGCATTAATCTATGGTACTAAAGTGGCTTTCTTAAGAGCTGTAAAGACACGAAGTATTATCAAAAACTAACGAACGAGGAATCTTATTGCATGTAGAGTAGTCGAACATAAAGAAGAACTGAGAATCCATTATTTGAGATGCAAAATAGGTAGTGTTCAAAAGGAAGAAAAATTTGGGAGGAAATTGATTTGTTCAAAATTCTGTTGGTGAGAAAACTGCTTTCAACAAGTTAAATTATTATGAGCAATAAAGTTTCATGAATGGCAGCAAGTTACATACCTCATAACACCAACGACCTTGTAGATAATAGGATAAGGCATCAGAGGCGTCAAGCTTGATTGCGGTGTCAATTAATTCCTTTAACAAATTATAAAAAACAGTTTGAATATACAATAAAGTGCGATATATAAAATTATTAACGATTGGGTCCAAAAAAGCAAGACTGAACGTGTGTGCACACAGATTTAATTCAGATTGCCTCACATAGTGTATATGTTCATTCATGAAGTTGACTTCTAATGCTTGTGAAATCAGACTTGAGTTGCACAACCACTGAGGGCTAACAGATTTTCTTATAACTAACCAAGGAAAGTGTGACGGCACATTGCATGAAAGGTTTTCATAGTGATGCTTATCAATATGTTGAGAAGAGAGGCTTTATAGTATTGCACATTCTAAAGATGAACCAGATAAAAATATGATATCCTTTGCTTATGGTTACATGATATTAAAAAACTGTTCCTCACATGAAGACACTTGGAGGAAGAATACATCAGAAAACTATGACAGAGTAGTTGCCTAAGTATAGTATGCAAGTATGACAGAACAATTTACACTTTTTACAAAAAAAATTGCTAATTACACATTGGTAACAGCCGTTGTCAACAGATACAAACCTAATCGTATGAAAATGAGAAAATCTACGTGAGTAATAATTCGCTAAAGTAACTCATCACTTACAAGTCTACATACTCGGATTTAAGCCACTGTAGGATCTACTGGTACTACTCGGCTGCCAAAAGTGATGTACGTGGGATAAATATTCAAAAACAAGACCCAGGAAATGCAGTCCAAGTGCTTAAACCACTAATTTGCTATTGATGACCTACATATTCACAGTAGCATTCACCCATATTGATCGAAAATCAGATGCAAAAATAAACTCATACATCATATTTGTCTGCACTTATGCACATCGTTGAGATCGCTTGATTTTTTTGTTATTTATTTGTAATCAACAATGTTCGGATTTCTTTCCATGATGTGAATGGGACTAAATAAAAAAGCAAGTATAGTACATCTAGATAACTTGCCTTAAATTCATAACCATACTGTATTCTTTGTTGAGCACTGAGGTAAGATGAATAGACACCAACTAAAATAGCTAACCATTTATATATTGGAGCTAGTTTTGTTGGATCGTTATCCAACGGTGGTGGAGAAACTCTTTGTGCGAGACTTAACGCTCGACGTGCATGTTTTATTCCTGACTCGATAAACTGGCGACGAGTTTGCACTTTATAAGCAATATCATTTAAAGTAAGATGACCGTGTGATACATCATCCTTTTGTGACACAGCTTCATCTAATGGCGCTTCTGCACTGGCTATGTAGGTAGCACGAGCTAAACGCCACAAGAATTCTGGGCAATAACGATACTATAACAAATAAGAAAAAGAAAGATTCGAACCAATAATACAATTGTACATTCACATCATATTTAGAAATTAAGAAACAAAATGTAATACTCTGTAACTGCATAAAAATTCATACATCTGTTACAATTAGAATTATATATGAATTACCGCAATCGATAGTTTTAATCCTATAAAATGTTATAGATGAAAAACTTGGGCAAAATCATCACCGAGACTTGTCATTAGTTTGAGTGTTAAAATATTATGCCAAAATATCTCAAAAATCGGTATTCATTTGGTGTGAACTGAATATTAAGATTGAATTACACTCAGTTCCTTTATGCTATTTGAACTTATGTTGATCTAATTCAGTTACTCATTGATTTACTCTGAAAAATGCCTTACACTAAATTAAAAAACGTCAGAAATACTAATTTCTACACAATAGGATATTACAAATATATCATTACTTTATTATTAACATTCTACGCAGTTCTCATCTTATCTTAGTGATGATATCTATAATTCAAGATAACATTTACACTTGATAATGCTTACTTTATGTACAATTTACATGTGCCATCACATTTCGCTTGTAATATATCCAAAATGAAATACAACTCTACTGACTAAATTTTTTTTCATTTCTCCTATTCTACTTTTTGTTCGAGCGTAATTGACAGGCAAACTCGTTATCAGTTTCCAATCCAAAATTACAGCAAATCACCCAACAAAGATCTAACGACCATTATTTTTAGATTTTACTCACAGTAAATATTAAAACGTATCTCTGATGCTATTTTCGGTCTCTTATAGAGTACTATCTCTCTCAAGGTTGCAAATACCCTTTTTTGAAGAGATACAAATCAACTAGAAGAACAACTTTAAGGCATCTTATCAACTATCTTCAACTCTAAATACAACTTCTGAGAAATAATTTCAGTATATTTTACCTTTGTCCTACAAATAAAAACACTGACGGAGAAAAACTGCAGCCTAGGTTGATGCATTTTGTGGTGTTAAGTTCTCTAAGCCTTGGGGATATAATTTTGGAAACATCGATGTGCATTTGAGGCAGGTGCATATGATGTCATTCAGATTGATCACAAAATCTTCCAAATTAAACCACACAGAATACAACACCACTAAAATCCAGACGTTATTATTCATTTTGATAGACATATGAACAAAATAGTGAATAGAGTATAGTTATTACAATCAGTTCCACTGCACATACATATTTGTGGAATACCGATCACAAAAAAAAACTGGAAATTCAATTAACGAACAACTGTAACAATCGAATAAAAATTCGTACCTTTTGCATGTATATTAGACATCTAGCGTAAGCTTGTATGCTTGGATTGATATCATTGTCATTAGGATGCATTTGTGAGTCACTTGATGAATACTCACCTAAAGCATAATCAGCCAGTTTATCTATTTCCTCTAGCACATCGGTCGGAACTTGAACCGTCATCGACCAATAAGAAGAGTTGTTGCTTAAATGACTACCAACACTTTGAAATGAATTTGCCGACGATAAAACTTCCTCTGGAAATTTACCGAACTGAATCGATGGGGAATTCATGCTTCGATTGTGAGAAAAAACAGAAAAGGATGGCACAATAATCTAAGCATCAGAGACAACTTCCATATATAAATAGCCTGATTCAATTCTGACAAAGAATGCATTAGCCTTAGATCTGTGAACAACAACTTAGTTAAGATCATAAATTTACGCAGTTCGTGTCAGAATACTATTTACATCAGAACACATGGATTGGGTTTACACCTGTAATCCGACAATTGAAGATTTTACGACAAACTAATTCTTGTAAAACCATTTTACTAAATTTACAAAATAATGAAAGTCACGTTGGTCACTATCAAAAGTCACAGCCAGCTGATAATCAAAGAAGCCAGAACAACGAATGAATGGAATCAATGCACTGTTTAGATCTTTTTTTAGCTAACTGTAGTAATCGAAGTAGCTATTTCTTCTCAAATTGTGAAAAATAACGCTTAAGGGGGAAGTACTTTTGATGAAATTAAACCTAAAAGTTTCAGAATATCACTCCCAGTCCCAACTATGCTCATTGACATCAAATTAATGTTTAATTCTAACTATCCAGACGTTCTGTTTTTCATACATTGAATCTTCTTCGGTACGATATTGTTTTTTAGATTTTATTTATCTCACTTATAACTAAAAAGAGAGAGTGGATGCACATAAAATAATGACACAGTCGAAAGCAACTAGAACTTACTCATCACCGACATTTTCCACATCGAAGTAGTTTTCGTAATCATCATCTAGGTCGTAGTCATCATCGCCTATAAAAATTGGTGGGACGTCATCCTACAAGAGTAATATATAGGTAAGACAAAATATATAAACAAAACATGTGATGTTTTGAATACTAAAATGCCAAAGTTAACACAACAGTTGAAGGTAAAACATCAACAGCTGTTTGGTTGCTTTCGCTGTCACTTTTATATAACCTTTGTAAGATTGAATAAATAATTCATGGTCGAGTCACCTCTCCTAAATATATAGATGAATTTAATTCAGTAAGAGTCCTTCGGCCAGTTGTCGTGATATCCAATGTCCCTCAAATCTAAAGCCTATCGTCAAGGGGATTTACCTGTTCGGTCTATTTAGTCTAGTCTTAGTTAATTCACAACCATATTTATTGTTTAATAGTAACGCTGGACAGCTGAAGACGTGCATGGGATGTTGTACCATAAAGAGCAATTAAAAGTACTACCTTGAGATGCAAAGATGAAAGCATCGGTTTGGTTTGCTCTATTTGAATTTGTACATAAAAGTTGGCATCTACAAAATGTATTAAATAGCTGAAGGCTAATGAACTAGTTCACATGTGTAGAGCCAACAGTCCCAGTAAAATAGGTAAATAACCTAGTATCTGTTGCAGTCTTTTCAAAACTGTTGAGTCATGCATTAAAAAATACTGATCTTTAAATAGAATTGGTGCGGCGATGACATCATTGGTTGTATGTTGTAAAACTAAAGATCATATAACTCTGAGGTAAGGCTTAAGGTACTAGATAGATAGAGAAATCAATTCATGAGGCTATGAACATTCATCTCAGATGCTCAAACACATGTCATGTTTTTTTCAGCAACTGTTCGCTTTTACATATCATACTGGTTAGCAAACCAGTCAGTCAGCAACAACTTAGAACTTCGCACGTACGTACATCAGTTTGAGTTGCCGCGCCACATTAGCACAGAGATACAATTGTCGATTGAAATCCCGTACTGGTAGAGGTAGTAAAAGTATGAGCAGTAATCTGAAAGATTAGGGTTTGAAGATGTTATTCAAGGAGTACAAACAAAAACAGAAATAAGGTGTTGGTCACTATTTTGACTTAAGAGAATGAGCAACAAATATTTGTGAATATCTACCGTTCCGTACATACAAATTAAGACAATAATTTTCCCAGAGAATAGCTTCGTTTGACAGATCATATAACCTCAAAGAAGCTTACTGAGGAAACTCTTTACTAACAGTTCACAAACGTATAATTTAAAGTTTGCGTTGCAATAGTTGGTAAATTTCGATATCTAACATGGGAACTATAGAATTAATAACTTGATACTATGTGTACTGCTACTGAAGTGAACGAAAACTTAGGAGAGGTAAACCAATTTATTGTTTTGTCCAAAATCAAACAGTAGTTTTGTAAAATATGAAATTCATACATCAAATACATTATTTGCTTATTCTCATTTAATTGTTCTTTACACACTTAGTCGTCCTTCCGATTCTGTTGTTATTCCAATTGCTCTTTGATTTCCTTGCTTTTCTCCTTATTTCACTCTTCTGTTGGTAAGCATTCTACTTCCCATTCCTGCTAAATACTACCTATATTCGTCCGCTAAGTAGTACATACTACATCACATTGTGAGACATTGAATATTTTCCTGAGATTTAAATTATGTTAAGGCCATATGAATTACTTACAAGAATGAAATTGGCTTTCTGATCAAGTATGAGAAGTTTGGTATATGAGAAACCCCTCTATCAGTTGGTATGAACTTATTATTATTGTTTCTACTGATCGTACGGGGATTTTAACTAATATTGTAATTTATTCTATCAATCACGCTTAGAAATTTATGTAACTGAATATGTTAGTACAAACAGAAACATTCATCGTCCCAATTTAGGACAAATAAAATAGTAACACAAAATACTCATCAATATATATCGAAATAGGACTTTAATGTATGTAATGAATAGTTGGTACTTAAAGCTGATGAAGTTGTTCAAATATATATATATATATGAACGATCTTCTAATGAACATATGTAGTTCGCTTAAATTCTCTTCACTAATACATTACACTATTTGAGGTTCTAATTGCCGTACTTCAAATATAACCAAATCTCACAACGGTATGATTCTTTCAAAGTATAACATCATAATGATTCATCTTATTTCCATTTGAAAAATTCCTATATTGTGACTTAGATCCTCACCAGGCTTCACTCTAATATACCCTCTAATATATAATAAATCATCCACCTGAGCTACAAATCTTCTCTATCATCTCAAAGTAATATTCACATACATATACAAAATTACTTAACCAATAAAGGCAGTTTATGAGTCAATGATAACAGTGCGATAGATTACAGAAATAAACATAATAAATGAAAAGTATAAATTGGTAGTGTGATGACAGGTGTACTAGTTGTGATAAAAATAATAAAGGCTTGAATCAATGTTACATAATGGGAAATACGTCAATGATTAGAAAAAATTCAGACACTGAAATAACATTCAAAAAAATTATAAGATTACGCAATAGGAAGTGTTTAGATAATTGGACTATGAAACGTATATTTGAGAAAAAAGAAAAGGGTGGGAGAGGGTGAAGGAAAATAAACGAAGAAAGAGTATGGGAAATAATAATAGATAAAATCATTTATTGAAACCAAGGAAGAGATAAAGGTGTTACAAACTTCTTATAAACACAAAGACTTGGATTGTTGACTCGAATTCCTATAGCTTCTGCTGCGTAAGAGACGAGATCGAAACACATAAGGAAAACTGATAGGAATACGATAAATAACTTTAAATGACTTATTTCTGTCTACTACATGACCGCTATTGAACAAGTGTGATAGAACTGAGAAGCCTATTGTCTTGACAGTACCTTTTTCTAACCACGAAGGGAGGTGTTCACTAACTCTTTGGATTAGTTGTCTGGTAGTGCGCCCAATATAGCTTTCTCCACAGGAGCAGCTGAATTCGTAGATACACATAGAAGTGGCATAATCAAGTAGCTTACCCTTTAGTTGAGGATTGGTTTAATAACTTCGTATATGCATATAAATATTACTGTATACCAGAGTAAAGCCTGATGAGGATCTAATCGAAAATAATATTGTTCGCTTAATTCCATTTAAGTATATAGTGTTTTAAACATCATGAACTCATGTAGTACGAAAGCAAAAAACTGATATTTCCACTCAAAAACCAATGAAATGTGTAATAGATGTCCAGATAATATGAACTACTACAAAATCCTGGCTAACTGAACACTGCTTATGGTGAAATATTCTAAAATTGAGTGCATGTTGAGGCTGCTAACCTAAAGATGTATCATCCAATTGAATTATTTCGGCTGCTTTGACCAACTATAGAATTTATCAGGATGATAATAATTTGGCACACTTATAGTTAATCAGAAATCTGTCTCTCAGTCCTTAGCTAGTCTTGATATGTATTTAAAGATTTAGAAAAACTTGAGGTACAAATTTATATATCACCGAATACCGCACCTAACGATTAAAAATATTGTCTCGATATAACCATCTTACCGAGGTGATAATATGATAATGAAAACAACGTAAAGAAAATACTTACATTGTCTTTGCTATCCAAACTCTTTACTTGAGTATTATATAATTCATTACGCAATTCCGACAATTCCGCTCTAACAATAGCTAACTGTTCAGTCATATGACGCAATTGTTCACTCTGTTTATCACGTTTCAAGAATAGTAATAAACCATTTAACAGACCATGTGAAAGGATCCCTAGTCCGAATCCTAGTCCAGCACCCAGGAGAGCACTTAGAAAGGTACGCTTGTCTACACGTCCACAACTCAATAATCCAGTACCAAAGATGGTTCCAGCAGTTGCAGCTTTAGATAATCCGGTGTTCTCACTGTTTGCCATGATATCTATGGTTTTGAAATGAAATTAAAGAAAATTTATACGAAAAGTTTGACCATGAGGTATTATAAAGAACTTCATGTAATTGATATCAACAAAGAACACTGAAAAAATATTCATAGGTAACAGCCATTTAACACAATAATTAAATGCACGTTCAGAAACTAAGCCATGAGCTACAGTTTTTCGACAGATGACGATATTAATTGGTTTGTAAAACAGATATATAAGGGAGATTAAAACTTATAAACAGGTATACTGAAGACAAAATACTCAGTGAAAGAGTTAATTAACAACCAAAATTTGTATCACCTTACTGACTTTGCTAAAATAAAATATGCATCATGACATACCAAATAAACATTACTTTTATTCTAACATTCAAATTAATTTTCAACCTACAATAGTAATAATTAAAAAAACTAGGATGAGTACAAAAACTTCTATCCAGGTCATATTTATTCATCTTGTCTAAAGCAACGATCTTTATTCTCAGACGATACATGAAAATAAGGGCACTACTGTACGTTGATGACGAAAAGCAACTTAAATGCTAATCAAAAACATACTACATTTTGGAAAGAAGTTTATCTAACAAAAACGGAGGGGAATGTGCAAGAGAAATATAATGGAAATAACTGTACTGCCAAGCACTAACTTAGTGAATCATTAAAAACACTAATATGCTATTTATTTCAAGCATGAAGGGTTGATGAAACATAAATACCAATGTACCCTCTATCAAAAATAAAATGAAATTAGGGAAAAGTAGGAGGGATTTCACTGCTAACGATCTCAGTAATATGATGAGACATTTAGTAAATCTCGCTACTACGGAATCTCATATATATTGAATAGGATCACTTAAAAATAAGTAATATATACTAGTGTATTTACAGCAAAATGCTACAAATGTGCCACAGAATTTTAGATTGATCTTATACAGAGATTGTCTTTGGGACCAACTCAGATACATGCGTTTTTCAACTACTTTGAATCATTCACGTAGACAGTGAGTAGAAACGGGATCCCAACAACCTTGAACAGGTACTTGGTATTAGGTTCCGACTGTCAAACGAACAATTGTAATCGGTAAACATTTATCTTATCGCATATCAAACTAATAATGTTAACATACACAATTTCAGGTTTTCTAGGCACAAAGTATTTTTATCGTCATCATAAAACTCCCTTTAGATCTCCACCATAAATATCATTGGTTTCAAATGTTAAAGGAAGAGAGGAAATCATGTCATTCTATCTCCGTTATTAGTCTGGGAAACAAGGTCTTTAGCATTCATTTTTCTAGCAGAAATCACAAAAAGTGAGACATTTAAATCGCAGGGATACTGAAGGCATATATAAAACTTATTTCCCCAGCATTTTAAGTTTTTTATACGAGCCAATTTACAAAACTATTTAGCTAAAAAGGTTAGTAGAAAATGGGATACATTTTTGCAGATTAACAAATGCAACCATAAATCAGCTAACATCAATAAGGTGGTTTCAAGAACTATAACACTTGAAAAATGTATAAAATACATTGAAAGTTGGTACCGAAACGATTTTCAGATGATACTTCGAATAATAAGTCTTAAAGCTAAAACGTTCAACGGAGCTGAAACTTCGAGAACTACTACAACCAATATCAAAAGGGTACAAGTATTTACAAACACTTGTTTACACAAGATACTCAATGTCCATTGGTCTGATACCATCAGCGACAGCCGACTGTGGGAGAGAACAAACCAACTTCCAGCTGAAGAGGAAATTAGGAAAAGACGTTGGAAGTGGATAGAACACACATTGAGGAAATCGTCAAACTACATCACGAGGCAAGCGTTAACTAGGAATCCTGAATGGATACGGAAAGGAGGAAGACCAAAGAACACGTTGCGTCGGAAATTAGAAGCAGACATTCAATGGATGAATAGCAACTGGAAACAACTTGGATTACCCAAAACAGAGTTGGATGGAGAATGCTAGTGGGCGGCCAATGCTCCTACAGGCGTAAGTAAGGTTAATAATTATATGGATCATCAAAGACAATCATCCTTGTGCACCGGATTAAGAGAATTTCTAATATACAAGTTATGATCCACACTCGTGCAAAGGTTTCAAGTTATAACCCGGACACCTAAACCTTAGTACCTGGAGTTTCCTCTGGACTAATAACATACTAATTGAATGTCAAGTGCTTAGATCAGAGTTACTGGTCTAATAATAGTTTATCTAATTCACTTGTTACGAATGCTTATTTAATTTATAATTCTACATAGCTAAGCATAGATAATAAATTTTAATTACCATATAAATCCAATAATCTCATATATAAGTATTGTTACAATCTTTGAAATTACAAGTAAGATTACAAACAAAAATGTGCTTTATTTGACAAATGACCTAACAGAATGAGAAAAATGATAGACTCATTGAAAGACTAATCGATAGTTTTTGTGATCATCAGTCATACGAATAAGTCAATGCAAGTATATTGAGTCACATATAAAAATGCTTAACAATAAATACTGGGTTTAGTCAATAGTTATCAATTTAACTGACTCTCCAAACACTTGGGTATGAAATAAACTTTAAATGTGAAGGCTAATAATAGTACTCGGTTACCCAAACCGAAGTGGATACGCTTAGTAAGGTAGGAAAATAAAACAGCATACAAAGGTAACTTGTTATCAAATGGCAGCTTTCTACAATTCTGACTAGGCACAGAAAACAAACATCAGTTTGGTCTTTTAAGATCGAAGTTAAGTAAAACCACTGATTGATAAGCCAATACTAAATGAGTGAACTAACATATTGAGATTTTGAAAGTAAATGAGGGAGGAAATACCTTTGACAATAACATAAACTTATTACATAGAACGTGTTATAAACCAGCTTTTTCTCTTAGCATACACGAAAACTGGTTTTCGTAATTAAGTAAATATGAATACGCATACGCAATATCACTATAACTACTTCTTGAAGTTATAACGTTGTTAGCCATTGGTAACAATCAGTAGTATATGTTATTCATACATTGCAGTGTACCAAAACCTAACCACACACTATTAATCTTATGCGAAATGTGAACATGTAACCAAAGAAAACTATATTTCATTTTTATACGAAATCTATCAAAAACACAGGAGTGTCATGAACTTCAGTACGTAAACTTCCAATCTAAAACCATTACCTAACAAATTAAGGCAAACGACAAAAACATAGTAAAAGTTACCTATTAATTTGAAAGGTATCTTCCAAATGCAGGATTTTGCTATACTAGGCTGTATATTATGGGCATGTTATATGGTATCGAAGAAAGTTAGTGTCATGAATCACTAGTTTTAAACTGTTGTCAACATGGATATTATTCTAGCTGTCAACTTACTTTGAAAATGTCAATACATGTAATGTATCATACATAAGGAGAGAAGGTAAAAGGAATTTGTATGAAGTTCCAAATGGGTTTAAACTACACGATTTATCTAAAAATGAAATACACCAAATCATTCTAAATATGTACTAAATTTGCCAGGCTTAGATGTAAACAGTGGTTTGCGTCTAAATTATTAGTTAATACAACAGACTAGAACATATCCACTATTACTCAAGTGTGCCAGTATGGTCTTCACTACAGAAACACTTTTAGTAGAGGTCTTAAGTTTAAAGTAAAGACTGAATTTGCGTATGCATGTTACATAAGTTCTCAAAACTCTCAGCCAATTAGTAATTTATTGCAAAAACTTAAGTAAACGATGGAATTATAGAAAAGTAATGCAGATTTTTCACGTTTGGTCAACGAAAAGTTGTTCAGCTTTTCACTGAAAATAAGGTAAGATCGACGGATCTACCGAGATGAGCAGGGAATAAGATAATAGACAACAATATTCGCAGTAAATATTTATTAATAAAAACGGAGGTTTTACGAACTTCTGCGTCTGTCCAGCTAACTAGGTGCATTTTATTGGGCGAAAAAGACTGATAAGGCCAGAGACATTTGAGATCGCTGACAAAACACCTCGCCAGTCTGATATAGTATGAGCAGTATGATTATATTTAGTCATATGAGGTCCTTTAGTACAGACCAACCGAGTATATTAAAACACAATTGGGAATTTTTCAGCAATTAAAATCTTGTGAGGAGTATATGCCAAACTAATATCGTGCCATGCGCTAGTTACCCGAAATTGGGGAGAATAGATAGTCTGGCTATACATGTCATAGCACTGGAGACTAATAGCGATATAATACAGTCACGTGGGGCATACAAATGCGATATAATGCCCAATGAGCTTAGAAGCATGTGTTCTCATTTAAAAAGCCACAAATAAACTTAACAATGAAAATATGACACTCAATACAACAAATAGCATAATATTCAGGTTTTTAACAATGAAATAACTGATTATAGTTGAACGGGGACAAAATGCCATCGGGCTTACATTCACAGGATGATCATAATATCAAGTATGTTGTTTACGCAATTGACACAAACAATGCATTTTAAACCTCATGCATATGTTAATTGCAATCGTTAATATATTTCCATGCGGCCCATAAAGATGGTTTTCGAGAAAAGTGTAATTCGATTAGGCTAAACGAAAATCTGAAACAGAAAAATTGATTCGGTAAGTGAAGGATTTATATTCAATTAAATAGTGCAGGACAATTAGTAATTTACAAACTATACCCGACACAATACCTAAATCCAGACCAGATGTACCTGATCATTAACAATGGGATAGACTGTAACTTTAGAAGACGGAATGCGGATTATTTACTATAGCACCACAAAGTAATTAGAAGTAATCCGACCCCATGCATTCATGGGACTCCGACAACACCGTTTCGGTAGTAAAGGATTATTTACTTGGCGTGAGAATATAAGGTTTGCTTATGTGGAGTGCTGACACTCCGATGGTGAGACTATAATTTATGGACGAACCAATCATGTATAGGATGACAGGTCTCGGATATGTGGACATTCTCAAAGTCATTTAAGCATGGCCCAAAGGTCGTCCATAGATCATGGTCTCAGCAACAAATTTTTTACACTGACTTTTATGATAGCAACCAGAACTGACAGCTATCCGCCGAAAATAAATCCGATACAACTCCCTTGGATTGAAAGCTCCGCCATGGAGTACCTTGACCTTGGCTGCACTCGTAACATCAGATTCAGATTTGTGTAGTAAGGACAGAAGCCCTATGACCTATGTTATTCCTTTTCTAGTATGCTTCTGTGAGTGTCCAGTTTTCTCTTGAAAGAGTCAATTGAGGGTGTGGACACCACTGCTTTAGTCAGCAGGTTCCAAGTATTGATGACTCGGTGTGAAAACCTGTATGCCACGGGTATTTTGTTCGTTCTTGGCTTTTCTACTCGCCTACTATGTCCTCTGAGGTGTCCCGATCTAGTGGGAAGAAAAAGAGAGAATAGGTTAGGTCCGAAATCACTTCTCAGTATTCTGTACATCGAAATTAGATGACCCCTCAGTCTGCGATGAGGCAGAATAAAGAGGTCCAGTATTTCAAGTCGCTCTTTGTATGACTAACCCCGAAGTTCCAAAATTGCACGGTTAGCTGCCCTCTGTACTTTTTCTAGTTTGTCCGAGTCACCTTTTAAACAGGGGCTTGCAGTCTGAGAGCAGTTCTCTAGCTTAGTTCTCACTAAGGATGTGTATACTGTGGTGAACATGGTAGTATCTAACTTAGTGAATGTCCTTTTTAAAGCCCAGAAGGTTCGAAAGCCCTTGGCTGCGACCTCCCGGCAATGGGCCGTCGTCTTAAGATCATTACTCACTGTCACCCCTAGATCCTTATGAGACCGGACTACTGGTAACGACGGGCTCACCAATGTAGAATTATGGTCTACCATGATATTGGTACTGCTCTAATAATAGACTTAATCCTAAAATTGTAGATTTGTCATGATATGACTGCTTAATCTATAAGATCTTACGTGGAAGTCACATCATCGTCTACACCAACTCACTGTATCGTAACAACTAACAATACATGATGAAGAACAAGCTTAGGCTAGAGAAGAACAATATATTTCGTATGAATAAAAGATATAAGGTAATATTCGGCAGGGACCACGCCTGAATGGCCGAGCCATGCCATTCGATTAACTCCAACTCATTCAATTAACTGTTCCTGCCTTTTCCATCGTTAGGTTTTCCTCCGTGTTAAATATTGAATATCTATTTTCTGAGTAGTCTTGTGTTCAACCTTGAAGATTGTGTTGTTATGGTTCAATGCCACTACAACATCCCCTATGTTGTACCTATTAACCTTTAAATCTTCCAAGTGCATGTAGACACACTTTTCTGCGTTGATAGGCATCAGCCACTCTTTAGACCAGTTTATCATATTATTTATGTCTGCCTGAAGAGTAAACGTGTCTTTGTCTCCAGTTATTACTCGCCAAATTTTTACATTGTCAGCGTATAATAACATTGGAGACTGTACTATAATTGTAAGATCATTAACGTACATTAAAAAAAGTAAAGGACCTAGGACGGACATGGGTAATGGAAGTGGGGAATGTTTTATTGTCATAAGTGCCGTTACGGCACGTGCCAGACAAATGTGATGAAGCACCACTGGATACTGGTGGTCAAGTTGCTACGGCAGCAACTGTTGACTCAGTCAAAACCGTTATCGTCTACGGTAGTCTCGGCTTCAATGCTGCCACTGTTCGGAAATGAATGACACGGTAACATAGAATAAAAGGAAAGATAACTAACAACAGCGCCTGTTTAGCTGAACAGTTCTTGGTGGACTCACATTTCGCATTACAAATCGCTCGTCCTAAAATAAGACAATATTTAACCATTTCGTAGATGGAAAACGTTTGGCCTCACCGAACATTGTCGTGAATCATTCGCCCCACTCACACAGCTCCATTACAATACGAACTAACAGTAAGCTGTCAGCAGTTAACACGTAGGATATGACATTATGATTAAAAGCCGTGAACACGACATTCAAAGAAATCAAACCCGTTCCTAGTTTAATTATTTGGAGTTTAGAGAAGTCGAAAGACAATGAACCTGCTCAAAGGCATACACACGATCTGAATTTAGTGGACTCTGACATCAGAAATGTACTGCCTGAAGAAGTTTCAGGGATACCTCCCAAGAGATTAATAAGACTCAGTATGTAGGTTGGAGGTGAGACCTAAGCAGGAGGGGTTGATACTCGGATTTTTTTATCAAAGAGACGTAACACTGAGTAACTCATATCAAAATCGTGACCCAAGTATTTGTACCCGATTTAGTTGGCCTCTTGAGGATCGAGTGGAAGAATGCACTTACGTAGCTAAAATCTCGAACGTTAAAGGGCGAAACGAACCTTATGATTAAGGGTTTTCGGGTGGTTAAGTTTTGGAAGCCAATGTTTCTGAGACACGTATGGGTAGGACGAATAATTCCCAAACTATCTGAAATGTGTGCTGCACGAACAACCATAGTCTTACGAGTAAAACGTACAAGCTAAGTTTGGTGGTTATCAACAAGTCGTTTTGTATAATTAAGTCACTGATATCTAGAATTCGCACCACAGATTCCCCGACATTTTTCATCACAATCTCCGTGAATAGTCGAAGATCATTCCCACAGTAATACGACTTATGCAATCTTAGCACTGTTCTAAAGCAATGACGTTCGACTGGTATGAGCAGTCTAGCGTCCTTATTGGTCCTTTATCCACCTAGCCTGTCCACTTAAGTCCAGAACACCAATACCAGCTTCCAGTATGCGAATCATATATTTCAAACATACTGTGTTTATGAAACAGAACGCAACGCAACATAAAATAGGAAATGAAATTTGTAAAAAATAAAGCCAAAAAGTGATTGTGAACGTGGGAGGCAATAGTCAATAAACTGAACATAGATAAGAACCGTAAATCGTACAATAATAAATTCTAGGTCAAAATAAATCTTATGACAAGAGGAATATAGATATACATAATCTAGTTAAAGAATATTTATACCATGAGAATATATGAATAATAATAGTCCATTGTTAAGTCTCAGAAGTTACTCGTAATGTAATCTTCACTAGGATATGACAATACCATACAACTGGATAGTGACTGTCCGCGGCAAAATGAGAGCCATTATCAGTCACTAACACCATGGGAGCCTCGTCTTCAATAAACATCTTTCTTAATGCATGGATTGTGAGGTCAGAATTCGGTGAAATTGTGAAAAAACTTCAGGCCGCTTCTGAAACGAACCAGTGACCACAAGTGCATAATATTTGCCAGGAAATGGATCACAATAGTCTGTATGAATTCTCCGCCAGGCCTCAGACGATACTGGTCATGGAGTTCACTTCATAAGCTGATTTTTCAACCTAGGACATTTTCTACAATTATTTGCTGTACGAAATAGATTTGCATATGTCTCCGGCTACCAGCATGTGAGCCTTGCCAAGAACTTCATTTTCCCAACACCCAAATATCCACTATGAAGATCATCAAGGAAAGATTAACGCAATGATGGGGGATAAAAACACCATCATTTAAACACAAAATACCATCAGGAGTAGTGGGCAACTCATTTCACACTGAAAAATGGACAGGAGATCTACGTTTCAGATTAGCTTTCCAACCTTTCCGTATAGCACTGGGTATGCATCCAAAGTATCAACGATCTTCACAATTGATTGATCACTGGGTGCCGATCAATGTCATGCTTGCCTAGTCCTTATTAATGTAGATCAAATGCTATCGACCATGTTGCAATGTGGCCACCAGTCTATGTGACTCGACACTGCTGGCACTAGGTATTGAGATTTAGATGGTGGTCGGAGGTAGTCACCAGGATACCCTGGATCAGGGTTTCGTGCTACTTGGCACTCGTCAGCAAGATGTACCTGTAATTTTGAGGGAACTAATGCTCCTTGGCGGATTCGATCTCGTGTCACCCAGCTTCACAGTCAGAGACGTAACCACTGAGCTATTCGACTAAGATTAGACACGCATGGCATTGATCGTCATCCAGTTATCAATCAATTGTGATTACATCTCAGTCCCACAGGAGGTCGGTCGCAGCTGGGATAGCTCAGTGGTAACGTCTCTGACTGTGAAGCTGGGTGACACGGGATCGAATCAGTCAGGGAGCACTAGTTCCTTTAAGATCACAGATACACCCTGCTGACGAGTGCCAAGTAGCACGAAACCCGGGTCCAGGGTTTCTTGTCGACTACCTCCAGCCACCATCTAATATCTACGACCTTTTCTTACGAGATCCGGACGTCTCACTGGTAGGGTTTGCACTAACAAACAATCTGAAGTATTGGATTGTCTACTTTGTAATGATTGCCGAGAAATGTAGTCAACATGTCGAATTTGTCTGGCACTCCTGCGTTGGACCGTATAGTCATACGCACTCAAAGCAATACTCAATCGTTGAATTATAACAGCTGAGGAACGTGCTGAAGGTTTTTCAGGATGATAAATGAACTTTGAACCTTATCGATCAGTGACAATAGTGAATTTCTTTCCGAATAAATATTTATGAAGTCTTTTAACAGCCCGAAATACAGCTAATTTTTCACACTGAGTTTGTGAAAAACTTTGTTCAATAACAGTAAGTTTGAGTGAAACACAAATAATTGGTCTAGCTTTCTGTACCAAAACTGTACAAATACCTACAAATGATGCATCAGTAAAAAGTACAGAATGTACACTAGGGGAGTAAGTTTGAATAACAGCATCAATTTGAAGAAGTTTTAGTAGACTTCGTGAGCATGACTCTCCTTCCTAACCCTTTTGAATAAATCGAATGTCAAAATATTATATAAACAATTGGCACAACAAGAAAAATTAGGACTAAACCGGGAATAGTACTCACTAGTGAACGTAGTTCTGTAAGAATTTTTAGAGAGTGAACTTTTCAGTAGAGCCGTTCGTTTCATATCTGCACTAAGACCAATGCAATCAACTAGGTATCCAAGACATTCGAAACTAGATACACAAAATGAACACCAATTCGGATTCACCGTAATATTTTTCTAAATTAAACGACGCAACGAAGTAATAAGTTTGGTCATTAACTTCCTTGTTAGATCCATGAAAAATGACATCATCTTGATAAACTTCAACACCTTCAATATCATATACTGCCTTAATCGTCACTTCCTGAAACACCAC